TCAACAAAGAATTTTTCCCCCCTTGTATACACTTATTTTTTTAATGTAACAAGTTATCCAGAAAATATTTTCATAATAACATAAGCCAAATCCAATTCTATTGGATAGTTTCATCTTTTTTCTTGGGAATAGCTGGTAAGTTTGAGCCTTCTATTAGCAGTCCAATACTGATCTCACTACATAACCAGGTCTCCTTATAACAATATATGATTTTGTTGTTTAAGGGCCGTCAAGTCAGTATCTTTCATCTTCTTTTGATACTTCCTGCATCATTTAATACTTTGATCATAGAATCCTTCATTATTGCAATCCAAACTACTTTCTTCAGTTCTTTCAACTTGAAAAATGCTGAATGTGTTCTTCATTTTGTTTTTCTAACTCTAGGTCTTGGCACTTTTCATTTTAATACTTTACTTTGTCTTCTCAAGCTGCTCTTTGACATTTTCTGTTCAACTCTTTTATTTCATCATTTCTTCCAGCCATTTTAGCTTCTCTGCTTCAAGAGCAAGTTTCAGAGTTTCTTCTGTCATCCACTTTGGTCTTTCCTTTTTCTCCTGTCTTTGTAACAATTGTTTGCTTTCTTCATGTATGATGTTCTTTACGTCATCCCACAACACTTGTTACTTGGTCATTAGTGTCTAATGCATCAAATCTGTTCTTGAGATGGTCTCTAAATTCAGGTGGGATATGTTGTTGCTGTTGTTGTTAGGTGCCATCGAATCGGTACCGACTCATGGCAACTTTATGCATAGCAGAACGAAACACTGCCCAATCCTGGGCCAACCTCACTACTGCCACTTGGCCAATCCATCTCATTGGGGGTCTTCCTCCTTTTCTCTGACCTCCACCTTACCAAACATGATATCCTTCTCCAGAGACTGGTCCCTCCTGACAATATGTCTGAAGTATGAGAGACAAAGTTTGGCCATTTTGGCCTTCAGGGAGCACTCTGGCTGCTCTTCTTCCAACACAGAGCTGTTGGTTCTTTTGGTAGCCCATGGCATTTTCAATATTCTCCTCCAACACCATAACTCAAAAGCATCAATTCTTCTATTGTCTTCCTTATTCACTGTCCAGCTTTCACATGCATATGAAAATACCATGGCTTGGGTCAGGTGCACCTTAGTCCTCAAGCTGACATCTTTGTTTTTCAACAAACACTTTAAAAAGGTCTCGTGCAGCAGATTTGCCTAATGTAATATGTTGTTTGATTTCTTGCCTGCTGCTTCCGTTGAGTGTTGATCGTTGATCCAAGAAGAATGAAGTCCTTGACAACTTCAATCTTTTCTCTGTTGATAAGAATGTTGTTTATTGGTCCACTGGTGACGATTTACTCAAGGTCATATTTTGACTCTCTTGGACTTAATTTAATTATTTTCTTCAGCTTCAGCCTGAATTTGCATCTGAGCACAGTTGGCCCCTGGCATTGTTTTGTCTGTCAATATTGTGTTTCTCCATTGCCTTTCCTCACAGATGCAATCAATTTGATTTCTGTGTATTCTGCCTGGTGAGGCCCATGTATATAGTTGCCTTTTATGTTGTTTAACAAAGGTATTTGCAATGAAGAAATCATTGATCTTGCAAAATTCTATCATGTGATCTCCAGCATCATTTCTGTCACCATGACCATATTTTCTAACTACTGGTCCTTCCTCTTTCTTCCCAACTTTTGCATTGCATCATCAGCAATTATCAATGCATTTTGATTGTATGTTTGATCAATTTTAGACTGAAGATGCTGGTAGAATTCTTCAGTTTCATCATTATTGGCTTTAGTGGTTGGTGTGTATATTTCAATAATAATTATATTAACTGTTCTTCCTTGTAGGAATATGGATATTATCCTGCCACAGATAGCATTATATTTCAGCACAGATCTTGAGATGTTCTTTTTGAGGATGAATATTATACCATTCCTCTTCAATTTGTTGTTCCTGGCAGAGTACATCATATCAATGCCCAATTTTAAATGGCTGATATCTGTCCATTTCAGCTCAGTAATGCATTTAAATAATTGTTTATGTGTTTTGTTTCACTTTTGATGGCTTCCAGTTTTACTAGGTTTATACTACGTGCTTCCCACATTCTGATTATTAATGGATGCTTGTAGCTGTTTCTTCTCTGTTCGAGTTGTGTCATATCAGCAAACGATGTCCCTCAAACTTTGCTCTACCCATGCCCTTAAAGCTATCTCTACTTTGAGGAGAGAGCTTTCCCCCAGTTGTATTTTAAATGATTCTAACTTAAAGGGGCTTATCTTCTCCTGACACTATGTCAGATAATGTTTCACCACTATTTATAAGGTTTTCAGGGGCTAAACATTCTGAAGTGTTTGCCTTTCCTTCTTACTCTATCTTAGTCTGGAAGTGCTGCTGAAAGCTGTCTGCCACTGGTGACCCTGATGGTATTTAAAATACCCATGACATAGCTCCCAGCATCACAGCAACACACGTGCCACCACAGTATGACACACTGACAGACAACTGAAGGGTAGTAGGGCAACACAGTTGTATAATTAGGAGGAACCAGCTAGATTGCCTTTCTAATTCATCTGCTACTATCTAAAGAAACTGTCTACAGCTCAAAGCGTATAAACCTTCCCTGAGTAGATGGTGCTTTTCATCTTCATGTATGTGGAAGAATGAGGGAAACTTGTTATTAGGAAGCCAGGTACTGAATTTTTGATAAACAAATTATTACTAAAATAGTCTGACACTTTAAAATATATATTTAGCAAAATATAAATATACTTAATAAAGTAACTATCCCATGGCAAACAAGTGACATGCTAAACATCTCTTCAGCTGTGCCTAAATCTAATATTTGAACGCAGAATATTAATGAACAATTAAAGAATGGTCCTAGATATGGCAAAGTGAGCTCACAAATCAGGCCACACGAGTGAAAACAACAGGACATTTAATGTAATGTTTGAGTTGTCTACTCTCTCTGATCCATTTTACATACACTATCAATATTATCAGACCTGAAAAATCACAAAGGAAGTGCCGAGGCAGTTCAATTGCTCTGAAGAAACATGTGCTGTTCAATGTCCACATTCTTGAATTCATCAGAGGATTTGAATACATCACAAACTATTAGATAAAATTATATTTGGTACTGGTTTTCAATCAAGAAGAACTGGGAAAAATCTGGTTGCTGTCTATTCTCTCTCTTTTCTCTTTATGAATGTATACATATGTGTTTGAGATAGAGGTATTACCTTATAATTTTATATGTTATTTGATTTGATGTGTACCGTATCTACCAACAATACAAATATTATATCTAAGTACTTAGAACAGTGTCCGGCACAGAATAAGCAAAATATGCATTATAAAAAATAGAATGTGTATATTCAATAAAGTCAGTATCTACCAAACACCTTGTAATTTGCAAGGCAACAATCTGAGTGCTCCACACATAATATCTTAGCCCCCTGCTTACAACTATACAAGGCAGAGCCTCACACCAAAGGACAAAGCTGAGATTAAGAACAGATAAAGGACTCAAGGAACGAAGCCAACATCTGAATCTGGTGTCCCTGACTCTAAATTCCATGAGAAATGAAACGCACAGAAAAAGTAACTTGTGTGAGACCACACAGCTGTTATGTGACAAAGCTGGTATTGAGTCTAGGTCCATTTCTTTTTCCACTAAAACAAAACAAAACACCACAAAACAAAACAAAACAAAACAAAACCCATTTTTTCCAAGTCCATTTCATCTCACAGAGACCCCATGTGTGTCAGAGCAGAACTGTGCTCCATAGTAGAACTTTTCAAAGATGGATTTTTAGGAAATAGGTAGCCAGGCCTTTCTTTGAGGTGCCTCTGGGTGGACTTGAACGTTTAACAGTTTGGTTAACAGTCATTTGTTAACTGTTGGCACAGCTCAGGGACTCTACTTTTTCATGACACCACTTTCTTTCTAAATTTGTCATTTGTAAGTACATAAATGGTCAACCATGCCTTTCTTGCAAACCTTGATGATATAAGTTTGTACATGTTATGTGCTTGCATGAATTCCACTGTTTCTGTTAAGATGTTATCTAGTCTCTTTAACTTCTAACTCAAGTCAAAATACAGTCAGGAGTGAGAATTAGGTTCCCTGGAAATCTTCTATGACCTACTTATTCTAAAACATGAATTGCGTTGATCTGTGCTCAGATTCTGACTGACAAGCCTATTTGGCTTCCGTATACAGGGAAATGCCTACTCTGTGAGAATCAAAACAAACAACATTACTAAAAAAAAAAAAAAAAAAAATGCATTATAAAAAGTCTGTTGGCATTTCAAAGAAACCTGGTGGTACAGTGGTTACAGTGCTTGTCTGCTAACGGAAAGGTCAACAGTTCAAACACATCATCTGCTCCATGATGAAAGATATGTCACTCTGCTTCCTGAAAGATTTACCATCACGGAAGCCTTCTGTGACACTTCTGCCCTGTGCTGTTGTGTTACTGTGAGTTGAAATTGATTCAACAGGATTGAGTTTGTGTTTTTGATTTTGCTGGCATTATCAGTTGTGGTCTTGGGATAGCACATAAAAGATGAAATTAACCTCACTTATAAAACTTGGGTGCCTTCACTGATCTTATGATGCACCCCAATATACTAGGAGTGGACTTATCACCTATACAGCAAAAGCTTGGTTATGGTGGTTATGTGCCGTGGAGTTGGTTCTGACTCATAGTGTCTCTGTATAGGGTTTCCAAAGCTGTAAAACTTTACGGGAGCAGAAAGCCTCATCTTTCTCCTGTGGAACCACTGGTAGTTTTGAACTGCTGACCTCGAGATTAGCAGCTGGACTCATAACCACTATACTACCAGACCTCCCCAAAAGTGTATTGATGCTGGAGAATGTTGCTATTTCAACTTGAGATCTTCAGTTTTGAAAGTACAAAAAAAAAAATCTTAGAACCGTGGATAGGTAAAAAAAAAAAAAGTTGTGCTAAGCAATAGAAGAGTCTAGATAGACCACCTTTCTCCAGAACTTACTTGGCCAGGTAGGGCAGGGGGCAGGGGCATGGCTGGCAGAATTGGGGTGCTCCCCTGATGGAATCTCCAATATAACCATCCAGACACTTTTCACAGTGCTCTCCTGTTGTGTTTCTCAGGCAGTTCTATAAGACAAAAGATAGAAACAATGAAGAAACATAAGAAAATTTATAGATAATAAATCCGGGAACTTCAAGCAGGCCTGGGAGAACAGATGGTGTGCATCAAGTCAGCTCAGAGGAGCCAGGGGTACCTCAGTCAGGGCTACAGAGTGTGGGCAAGTGGTGGATGAATTTACCCTGGACTGCAGTGTGCGCTGCCAGCCTGGGGACTCTCTTTAGAGTTTGTGCATAGGAGACTACTCATCTAGTCCTCATTTCAGTTCAGAATGATAATGTTCAAACTCTGGATGTTCCAGAAGCATCAGTTTACTGACTTGAAATGAACATGTAATAAGAAAAAAACAAAACCAGTTGTGATCTCCACAGGTCAAGTGTTTATCCGTGAACCACATGGATTTAAGGGTTTGAAAGAACAAAATGTCACAGACAGAAGCAAAAATGGAAGGTAGATGAAAAGCATTTTGATAATGGCCTGGCATTTTGGATAGTGACACACAGAAATAGTAAGGTTTATTAGCATAATTTTTGCATTTGCTATGAGTTGGATAAGAATAAAAGTACAAAACAGGCTGATCCTACTGTCTGGAAAGCCTTACCATCATTCCAGATCAGCACTAGGCCTCAAGCCTCCAGAAAGTTCTCCCTGTGCTCCCTCACTGGTGCTTCTTCCACTCTCCCACACTGCACTATCAGCACCTGTGGCCAGCCTCTGCTACCCTCCCCAACACAAGGTTTTCAGCACTCTGTAACTGTTTGTAAACAAATGAATTAACTTATAACTTGCATTACATAAGCTAGAACACTAACATTTTTCGCCAACTGGATAATGCAAGATAACGCCATTGTTGTTGTTGTTAAGTGCCATCAAATCAGTTCTGACTCACAGCAACTCTGTATTGGGTTTCCTAGTAGCAGCTAACAGGTTTGAACTGTGGACCTTGAGTTTAGTAGTCAAGTGTTTATCCTACAGTACCACACCAGGCACAATGATATTTTCATTTAATGGCAGTATTACAACGAAATGGTTTTTTTTAGTGAAATATTAGGCTGTTAGAATTCCATCTCCAAAAATCCTCTTATTTGAGTAATTAATTCCCTTAGTAACGTCTATACACAGGATCTTCAACAGAACAACGTCTTTTCTGTGTTCTATGAAGCTACCTTGCAAAAGACAAGATGGGGCCTTACTGGGTAGAAATCACAGCTTTTTATTTTGTCTTTATATTTTATTTTGGGGTTCAGAATAAAATAATAGTGATCCTCTACATTCTAAATATATTGGTTAACTAATTTAATTCTCAAAACAAGCCTGAAGTAGGTTATTAATTTTTGTCATTATACACAAAAAGAGACAAAGGCACACAGATGTTAAGTAAATTGCCCAGAATCATACAGTTAGTAAATGGCAAAAGTGATATTCAAACTTAGGCAGTCTATCTCCAGCAGGGCTGCTGTTAATTCTCATGCTATACTGCTTTTCCAAAGTTGTTGGAGAAACGGTTTCTTTCCCAAAGCACAATCATAAAATGACTGCATTAGAAAACGTCAGACTATCTTAGTGAAAATTTGAGCTTTAAATGAAGTTCAACATATGATTCAAAGGGAGAAATCACCTTTATCCATTGTTGTGGGATTGTAAAATGGTACAGTTGCTATGCAGAACAGTATGATAGCTCCTCAAAAAGTTAAACAGAGAATTACCATATGATCCAACAATTCTGCTCCTAGGTGTATACCCAAAGGAATTGAAAGTAGGGACTCAAACAGATAATATTTATTATAGCATTATTCACAAAAGAACAGGTAAAAACAAAGCAAACATCTATCAACAGATGTATAGACCATTACAATGTGGTATATACATATAATAGAATGCTATTCTAAACTGTGGTTGAATATCATGCTGCATGGAATAAGTCAGGCACAAAAGGACGAATAGTTTAGGACTCTGCTTACATGTTATAATCAGAGTAGACAAAGGCCTACAGACCAAAGCTTATTAATAAGTACCAGACAGGGATGGATTGGAGGGGAAAATGAAGGGTTAGTGCTTAAGGGGTACTGAGTTTCAGTTAAGGGTGATAAAACAAAATCAGTTTGGAAATGGTAGTGGTGATGTTTTCCAATATGGTGCATGTAATTATGCCATTCCAACACTCATCTGTCAGTTTGTCATACTGTGGTGACTTGGGTTTTGCTGCGATTCTGGAAGCGATGCCACTGGTACTTTAAATATCAATAGGGTTACCCATGGTGGACAGGTTTCAGCTAAGCTTCCAGACTAAGACAGAATTGGAAGAAGGAGAGATGGACTACTTCCGAATATTTAGCCACTGAAAACCTTATAATAGATAGCACCAGAATATTAAATATTGAAAAATGATGAAGAGCACCATAATATTGTCAGATGTAGTCCTGGAAGATGAGCCCCTCAGGTTGGAAGGTACTCAAAATATGACTGGAAAAGAATTGTCTCCCCCAAGTAGAGTGGATTGTGATGACACGAATGGAGTAAAGCTTTCTGGACCTTCAACTGCTGATTCAGAGAAACAGCTGTAAACATCATTAACAATAAGAACATGTAATATATAAAATATTAATCTAGGAAAATTGGAAGTTCCAAAAATCAAATGGAATACATAAACATTAATATCCTAAGCATTAGTAAACTGAAATGGACTGGTATTGGCCCTTTTGAATCTGACAATTACATGGTTTACTATGCCAGGAACGACCAATTGAAGTCACATTTATAATCAAAAATAATATTTCAAGATCTATCTTTAAGTATCATGTCTGTGACAAGATAATATCCATATGTCTACAAGGACGACCAATTAATGCAACCACTATTCAAATTTACGCACCAATCATTAAAGCCAATGATGATGAAATTGAAGACTTCTACCAACTTCTTCAGTCTGAAATTGATTAAGAATGCAATCAAGATGTATTGATAATTACTGGTGATTGGAATGCAAATGTGGGAAACAAAGAGGAAGGATCCGTCTTTGGAAAATATGGCCTTGATAGTAGAAATGATGCTGGCGATCACATGAAGGATTTTTGCAAGACCAATGAGTTTTTCATAGCAATACCTTTTTTAAACAACATAAAAGATGATTATACACATGAACAACAGATAGAATACACAGAAATCAAACTGACTAGATCTGTGGAAAGAGATGATGGAAAAACTCCATATAATCAGCCAAAACAAGGCCAGGGGCATACTATGGAATAGGCCATCAATTACTCATATGTAAGTTCAGGTTGAAGCTGAAGAACATTTAAATAAGTCCACAAGGGCCAAACTATGGCCTGAATTTAGAGACCATCTGAAAAACAGATTTGATGCATTAGACACCACTGGCTGGAAACCAGGAGAGTTGTGGGATGCCATCAACAACATCACACAGGAAGAAAGCAAAAGATCATTAAGAAGACAAGAAAGAAGGAAAAGACCAAAATGAATATCAGAAGAGACTCTAAAACTTGCTCTCAAGCATACGGATGATAAAGCAAATGGAAGAAATGAGGAGGTAAAAGGGATGAATACAATTTCAAAGGGTGGTTCGAGAAGACAAAGTCAAGTTTTGTAATGAAATGTGCAAAGATCTGGAGTTAGAAAACCAAAAGGGAAAAAACATGCTCAGCATTTCTTAAATTAAAAAAACTGAAGAAAAAATTCAAGCCTCTATTTGAAATATTGAAGGATTCTGTAAGCAAAATATTGAATGATGCAGAAAGTATCAAACGAAGATAGAAGGAATACACAGAATCACTGTCCCCAAAAGAAATGCTCAATGTTTCAAGAGGTAGCACATGATCAAGATCCAATGATACTGATGGAAGAAGTTCAAGATGCACTGAAGGCACATGCAAAGAACAAAGCTCAGGAAAGTGATGGAATTCAAATTGAAATCTTTCAACAAACTGATACAGCACAGAAGGCACACACTCATCTATGCCAAGAAAATTTTAAGACAGCTACCTTGTCAACTGATTTGAAAAGATCCATTATTTGTACCTATTACAAAGAGAGGTGACCCAATGGAATGTGGAAATCATCAGACAGTATCATTAATATCTCATGCAAGTAATATTTTGCTAAAGATAATTCAAAAAACAGTTGCAACAGTATATTGACAGGGAATTGCCAGAGATTCAAGCTGGATTCGGATGAGGGCATGGAATGAGGGATATCATTGCTGATATCAGATGGATCTTGGCTGAAATACCAGAAAGATGTTTACCTGTGCTTTACTGACTATGCAAAGGCTTTCGACTGTGTGGATCATGACAAGTTATAGACATTGTGGAGAGTAAGTTTTCCGGAACATAAGGAACCTTATATAGAACAAGAGACAGTTGTTTGAACAGAGCAAGGGGACACCTGGTGGTTTAAAATGAGGAAAGCTGTGTGTGCCAGCATTGTATTCTTTCACCGTACTTATTCAATCTGTATGCTGAGCAAATAATCTGAGAAAATGGATTATATGAAGAAGAATGTGGCATCAGGATTAGAGGAAGACTCATTAACAACCTGCAATATGGAGATTATACAACTTGTTTAAAATACTGATGAAAATCAAAGACCACAGCCTGGGTAGGACCTCAATGGAAAACAACAACAACAACAACAACAACAAAACTCACCACTGGACCAATAAACAAAATAAAGAAAATGGTGAAAAGACTGAAGTTGTCAAAGGCTTCATTTTGCTTGGATCAACCATCAACATTGTTGGAAGCAGTAGTTAAGAAATTAAAAGACGTATTGCATTAGGCAAATCTGCTGCACAAGACCTCTTTAAAGTGTTCAATGTCACTTTAAAGAGGTCTCTAAAATGCCAGTTTGAGGACTAAGGTATGCCTGTCTCATTTCATGGTATTTTCAGTAGCCTCATATGCATGTGAAAATTGAACAATGAATAAGGAAGACCATAGAAGAATTGATATATTTGAGTTCTAGTGTTCGAGGAGAATATTTAAAGTACTAT